AAAACTGTTTTGTATGTTCTAGACAGCTATACCTCAGTGCTCTTGCTATTTCTATATTGCAGAGTTGTATTTCGGAGAAGTCATTTGCTAGATGGCGTTCCTTCCTTATTCAAAGTCAGAGTAAAAAAAAAAAAAAGATTGGTCTAAACCTGTTAGCAAAAACCCATCATTCTGTTGCCGTTTGAAACTCTCCCCAATGTGCTAGTCTATAATCTTTTCAGAAAACATTTCCATAGATGTCAAGCCCACAAATTCTTTTTGCTACTTCAATAGCACAAAACACAACATTTCCCCTCTTGGTGCTGGATGATTTGGAATAAAGCAACGCAGGGGGAGGCAAAAATAGTCAACATCACTCTGATCAGGTATACTGTGTGTCCGGACAAGCAGCTTGTCAAATCACTCATCTGGGAGAGATGCTTTAACCTTTACCTTCTGACAGGCTGCAAGGGCTACATTGCCTTCTGATTGCTAAAGTGCAGCATTGAAAAGCTGAAGGTTGATCTTGACATGCTGTGCGTTTTTGGAGGAGTTTGTCAAATGCCGATCCATGTGTCATACTGATACGTGAATGAATGTGATTGCTATTCCTAAAAGAAAATCCTTCAAGTAAGGCAACAACAACCTGAGAAAACTTGATTATATTCGTTTATATTTGAATATACATTTTAATGAAATAATGCACATATTTTGTTTGCATTAGGCCATCCCACTATACTAGCGCGCAGGTTCAAAGAAAAAATTATTTCATAGTTTTTTTATTGAATTTTCAATTGATCTGAATTTTCACACTACATTTTCTTTTAAAGCAGCACTATGTAACTTTTTCTGTGTTCAAAATTTGCTAAATGTATATAATGAGCGAGTACATCATGAATTAATCTTCCAAACCACGTTTTTGTCTTATTCCGAATCACTACGGTACACTTATAATAAGAAGTTATATTTGGACTATTGTAGCCTGGTCGGGTCGTCACCACTGTGACGTAACACATACCTGCATGAATCGCCATAGACATAAACTGCTTCATGCTCTAAAAGAACCAACACACTATATTAACAAAAATTTGTAATATAATAAACTATAAAATATTTTATCTACATGCCAAAGTGCAAAATAAAATGTTCAGTGATAAAAAAAAAGGGCTGACAAAGAAGTAACCAGAGAGAGTCGTTTCTTGCAAGGTAGTTTTGTCTGCTTGTATTTGATATTAAACACCTGATATGTGTACCTGGAATAGTTTTTTGCAGCCTCTGTAAGTAGATTATACACAACTCCCTGGACGACACTTGAAGGTGATCAACTTCCAGTTGAAAAGAGCATGTTTAAATAAGGTGAGTGAGCCCACAACAGGACATTTTAAGCATTATAAACCTGTATAGTTCTTAGAGAAGATCATTGGGAGGAAAAAATTCCATTATAGTCCTACAGAACATTGTATGAATTCATAGATAATCCTCACTTCTGTCCGTTTTAAAATCTTCATTTATGTTTTAGGTATACTTAGTCAAACTAATATTTTTAGAAATATTTTTAAACTGATACTTTATGTTTGAGCTTTAATTTCCAGTCTGTTAAATCAGGTTATCTCTGCCTATCAAGCTACACTTTGCTAATCAATGTGATGATTTGTCCTACTGGCATCCTATTGATGTATACAAAAGCATACAGTCAAATAAACAATATATTTGCATCTCAGACTAGGGATCTCATGTGTGAAAGTGATGTTTCAAAGTAGGTTAATGGCTGAGCCCAAGGGTAAAAATGGACTACTGTCTGTGCAGTGTCTAAGAACATTAGGCCAAACGTGACTGAGTTTGCACAGCTCAAACTAGGACTGAGCCTCTGCACTGATGTCAAGCCTATTTGTCAGACTCTCTCATTTTTAAATTGTTGCTTTTGGCATTACTAAAAACTCCACAGCATATCATTTCCAAATTAGGAGCTTTCCAAGTATGGTTTTATTCCATGCGATTCAAGACGATTTGAGAAAAATCCCCTCCTCTCAGTTTCACTATTAAAAACCTTAGCATAGGCTTCAAAACAACCGTGATAAAGTTTTAATTCCACAATTAAATAATCAACTTTAAGTAATAACTAAGCAGCTATTTGCATTCTGCAAGTAATTATATAAGCAAATTGCAATTAAATCTATATTTACTTTGTATGCAAAACAATATTAATAGCCATATGAATCCAAAGAAACATTTATATTAATGATGGTTGCTTAATCACATACAAAATGTTACTTCCAATAAAGTTCACAACTCAGGTTACAATTTAAATATGCAAATAACTGATAATTAATGCAAACATTTTCACAGGTCTTTCAGCTCATACACTCATACAGTAGATTCTGAAATCATTCATGATAAATGATAAGACATGGCTATTTGTGGCCAAACGACTGCAATAAAGTCCATCTCTACCCGGATAGTCTGATGCAAGATATTATTAAATTATTAAGAAGTGATATTAAATTATATAGAAATCTCCAACAGCAGGAAATGACGGATATGAGAGGAATGTCTTACCTTCAGCACAGGATAGGCACAACGCTATAACCATCAGCAACATTGTGCTTGTTTGTACAAACAAGCCCAAACTGGAGCCTAAATTACTTTATTCCTCTAATGCATTCCTTAAAAAATAACAGCAAAAAACAAGAAAAAATAATAATGAAGTGAGCTTTAAAATAAATGTACAAATCAAAGAATGAAAGTGAACGTGGTGCCCTCACATGACATTAAAAGTCAAATCAGTTGTCATGGCAGACAACGGACTCAAACTTGATCACTTATGAGTAGCAAAATGCACAAACTTAAAAAAAAAATACAGGTTGAAGTTAAAACTAAGCGCTGACACGATTCACGTGCTGCTGTTTCTGGACCTCACGTTCATCTGAGTCTGAACGATTAGATGTCACAAGCATAATCCTCAGCAAATGAAATACATGTGCGCTTTATGTTGTCCTGAAGCCCCTCAATCTTGCCTGTCACTGTCATGTGGACAGACAACCTGCAATACCAGTGATATTAACTTAAAAGATGACCCTTGAACGAGAGTCAGAAGATTTCAACCAACTAACAGTCTCTGCAATGTGAACTTATGAAAAACCGTGCAGGGATATAAGTAAAACTTGTCAACCGTTTCATGGTAATACTATGGTTGTGTAAATGTAAAAGATCCAAGTATAAAATCTGAGGTATAAGGCAAAAAATATTTAAATAGTATTTTATTACTTGAACTTTGTGTTCAACTAGGCTATAGTTGAAGTTATATTAAGTAGCTTACAAACACTTCAGTGGCTTCAGAGTGCTGCGGTGTAGCGCGCAAGCGTCCCCTGTTGACAGACAAGCAAAAACTAATTTCTCTGGAAATAGTTACACACAGAAAAACTGGACATTTACAAAAAAGACAGGCCAGCGTGACAAAAAACTTACAGTTCGCTTTGAGTTGTTCATCAAAATAAAGGATAAGTGCTCTTTTGCAAAATGTGGCGAGGCTAGTTCATTCTTTTTACTCCAGTGAAAGTAAATTTATGTAGCCTATGTTGTGGGGATGACACCTCAGAAGCGGATAAACTAGACAATTATAATCTTAGAATGTGCTACTTTATTCTTTTTAAAGTAGATCATTATAAGACACAGCAATCACAATATCTACAAATAATCACCAGGTCTGCTGCCCAGTTGGAACCCATCATTAAATGTGATAAATGTGGCTCTTGGAATATGTTGACAGAGTTGAGAAAAGTGCACCCTTCATCCACAACACAGAAATATTAATTCACTCACCTTACCCATGATGCCTTAAGTGAGAAGTACCAAGATACTGAGGTCACTGCTGCCATCTACTGGGTTGTCTCTATATTTATTGTGGAGTTTTCTGTTGGGAGACATGCTATGTGATTTGCCAAGACAATTTCAAGTCTGATCTTGAAAAATATCACATTTATTTTCATAGAAAATGTATATTTTACACAGTTCTACACATGCACAGCCACACAATAGTCCATATCAGTAAATATAGACCAACAAGTACTTTTTTCTCGTTAATTCACAGAACAAGCACAGAATTGCAGTTTTGAGCATCTTTTCTTGAAGACACCATGGAGAACACTTACACTGTAGAATATTAAATCTTAAAGCACTAAAAAAGTCTGAAAATCTGTAAATTAAGTATAAACATTTATAAATTATCTACAAATGGTGTACAAAAGAGTAACCGAGAAATGAATTATAACATCCAGTCACAAACGAACACTTGGGATTTATGATAATAATAGAGATATTTCTGTTAAATGAAAATATATGTAATCTCTTTTTTTCTTTTGGCAAAATGATGTTGCAAGCTATACAGGCAGCTGAACATTTCATACATTCCTTTTTGGCTATCCAACCAATTTTTTATTATTAGAACCCTCCATGTTTTTCATCTACAACAAATAAACTCCATTCGCCCCAATTTTTTATTAAAATGCTTAAATATAGTATACTTTTATTATAATCTTTTTTAAAGATTAAAAAAAAATCAAGCACACACAGTATTTACCCTGGATCAAACCATTCAAGAGTGCAATCTAAATCCAACTGGCCACATTATTGTGAGATGCCACCAAATGTTGGCTCAACCTCGCATTTCCAGTTGCAGAGGCAAGATGTTAATGCAAGAGATTTTGCCCCTTATGTAAACTACTAGATTATAGCTTGAGACAACTGAGCTATCATAGGTAGTTTTGCCTGAGGGTATTGCTTAACCTGTATTTTGGTAGCTGAGAATATGCATTATAAAGTCCTCAGCAAAGAGACTATCACAAGGAGTTTGATTCTACCATAGCAAGCAAAGACCTCAGGAAAAACAGCCAATGATTACAGCAGCAAGGATATGTCATTTAAGCCTATAGATGATGTTCTCATAACCAGCCATGACCCATTCATGTAAACCGGTGTTAAAAGGGTTGTTTACCCAAAAATGAAAGTGTCGTTCTAACCTGTATGATTTCTTTCTTCTGTGAAACATAAAAGAAGATAGGCCTATTTTGAAGAATGTTGAAATCTGAACAGTTTTCCATTGTACGGACTAAAGAGAGAGAGTGAGAGCAATTTCTCAAAATATCTTCTATGTTCCACAGAATAAAGAAAGTCATAGAGTTTTGGAATGACGTTAGGGTGGGTAGCCTAAATAATGACAAATTTCATTTTTGCATGAAAATCCGTTTATACAGAACGCATTCTTGTGTTTAAAATGGAATTGCAAAGAACACAGTGTTTCTATGCGTGTAGTCAAACTACTTTTGCTTTTTAAAAACAAACGAGAATGTTGATAAAGAGTGTCAAATCTCAGTCTTTCGCATGTTTACATTGAAAAACTATATAAAAAAAAACATTTCAAAAATGCATTCTATGTAAACCGGCCCTTAGAAAGTGAAATTCGAGGAGACACCTAGACACCATCTTTGCTTAAATATTTCTTTTTCTGAAGACGACACCACCCTTATTGAAAGGAACAGGAAACAACTTGTAATTAGCAGCACATCACATTATCACAAAAGAACAACATTTTTCCTTTTTCAGTTGTAAGGGGTTGCACGAACATGGATGCAGAGGGGAGACACACACACGAGCCATTCACCAAAACACAACGAATTGTGCATTGAAAGGCAAACACAGAAACTTTTCATTGTATTTTTATAACTTCGGAGTCATTCTCGTGATAAACGCAGGAAAGGGAGCTCTTAGAGCAAGCAAAAGGGAGGATACTTGGCAAAGACTGATGTATAGAGACATCAGATGTAATATACTGTACTTACTGAGTTTAAATGAAGGCCACAGCAATGTTTAAAAGGATTTGCTCATAGACTGTTCTGGTCAGTTATGCCATTTTGCACCTTGCGCATCTTTCTATGGAAATACTTCTTTTGATTGTGGTCTTTTTGTTTCGGACTAATGCACTTAATATGGTCTGGAGTTTTTTTTATCATTTACTGCTATTTGACTGACAACGTCAGACCATATTTAAAGTGCTTTTTTAACTGTTTTTATAACCAAGTGCTATACCAGACTTTAAAATCTATGAGATTAAATATTTCATTCCAAATCCAGCACTTTGATTTGAAATGTGGAAATTATAATTGAAGGAATTCTTTAAATATTAATAATATCTCTTTGTCCTCTACATGCTTTCATTCTGACAGCCAATTAGCAAGCTCACTGACACATGAGTGACATCTTTATATATGTCATTCCTTTTCATCTGGATATTAGATTTTCAGAATATGCACGTGGCATGTTAATGTGAAAGCTGTTTAGATTTAATTTTTTGTGTGTGTGTGAGAGAGAAAAAAAATCACCGTAGACTTTTCTGAAACACTGGGGATTGGTGGTTTCCCTTTTGAGAGAGAAATCTGTATGCTGTTGTAGCCATATGAATTTGAAATCAATCTCTTTTACTTTGAGAACTTTTGGAGCAGTTTCTTCCCCTTAGAGAGCAGTCCTTTTTTCTTTTTAGATGCCAGGTCTCGTGGACCCCTGGCAGGGCTCAGCGGCCTGACTGGGCCAACGGGAAGCAAAGGACGCACAGTGGGAGAGGCGGGTCTTCCAGGGGCCGGAGCTGGCACTGAACTTTCCACAGGCACCTAATGAAACATCCACGGGGAAGGGAAAATTGTGGGATATTATACAGCAAGACTATATTTTGCCTTATTATCTGCCTTCTTCATACATAACATTCCAGCTTATGTTCTGAGGTTTAAAACAAATGATCTCAGACTAGAAGAGTGCCAAGAAAGTAAGAGCAAAAATGATATTACTACTCACAGATTGGATCTTTAGAGAAAAGGCAGATAATATGGTTGGTTCCTGAATTAACTCGACTGTTTTATTACATTTCTTCTTGCCTGCTAATACAGATATGAAATGTGAAAACATTCCTTCATTTAATTTGTGTTTGAATTGTTGGAAACCTCAAAGGGTGAGGGGATTTTATATTGTAAAACAGCATCAAAATAGACAGCACAAGGACTCCACACAGCACGGGAACCAACTGCAGATACCATACAAGTCTAATGCACTGGCACATTAAGCATTTTTTATTTTATTTTTTAAAGATAGAAAACTAAATAAATTTGAAAAAGAATCATTTGAATTAATAAACATTAATAAAGGGATAATAAAGAAAGTTCAACCAAAAATGAAAATTTGCTCACTATCAGGCCATTCAAGATGTACAGTAGTTGAGTTTGTTCCTTGATCAGATTCAGAGTCCAAACAGCTGATAAAAGCATCACAATAATCCACAAGTAATCCACATGACTCCAGTCCATCAATTAATTTCAAAAGCTGTGTATTTGTAAGAAACAAATCCATCATTAAGGCATTTTAACTTTAAACTTCACTTCTGGCCATAATCCACAGTAACGTTTCCTCCAGTGAAAAAGTCCATCCCCTGTTGTCTTCTCACAGCAAAATCCACAGACATATTTGTTTAGAACTATTTAGGACTGTTTTCGTGTGTAAATGGTGCTTGATCTGTGCATATTTCTCTCCTGATTCAGACAAGATTACCTTTTCACTGGAGGAAGCAATATTATGAATAGAGGACTCATACTGTATTTTACCCGAATGAAAGTTAGTTCATAGAATGGACTCATGTGGATTACTTGTGTATTATTATGCTTTTATCAGCTGTTTGGACTATCATTATGATGGCACCCATTCACTTTAGGGAATTTCCTTCAAATCTGTTACAGTGAAGAAACAAATTCTTCTACATCTTGGATGGCCAGAGGGTGAGTAAATACATTTTCAGCTGGAGGTGAACTATTCCTTTAAGAAGAAAAATCTAAAACAAAATGTATCTTTAGACGACAACAGATCATTCTTATTCAACTAATCCTACATCCCAATGATATAATTTTCCCATAAAAATGCATTCAAAAATTGCATAAAGGCTGCGTATAAAATCCCATGCATGAGACTGATCACTGGTATCGCCAGTTGCTCAATTTACCTAGCAAGACACAAGTCTGCTAGGACAGGAAATGAACAATATTCCTACACTTTTTTTCTTTTTTTGGCAAAGCCGGTGGGGAAAAAAGGAAATTAGAATGCAGCAACATCATAAAAAAATAAAATAAAATAAAAATTATGAGGAGAAAAAAACACCACCACCACATACACAAAAACAAACATATGTATTCACTAAATGTCCACTAGCAAAAATACATATTTGTTTTAGTTTTTCATTTATTTCGATTTATTGTAATTACATCATGAATTATATTATTTTAGTCTCTCAGAAAGAGATGGAATGAGTAATAAATCTTCTGCTAGTTTATAGGATCTAAAAAAAAAATAGAGTTTTTGGACAATGTGCAATATACAAAAAGAAACAAAGCCTCCTTTGAAATACAACATTTGGGGTAATGTAGTTTACTTTTATATAAAAGCTACAGGTCTGTTCTGGGAAAAAACAGGCATGCGTCAACTACAAACTAGTTTCCAAATCAGTCTTTTAACAGGGTCACAAATCACGAGCCACAGACCCTATGGACTTCACAAAGCACTTTGACTAATGCAAACAGCTTCACTTAAGTAGGGTTTTGTGTTTCAGTGCAAAAATGCTTTATGCTTAATTCGTAGTCCGGTGCAGGAACGGAATTTGGCCTTTTCCACAGTCCTCTGGCGACCCTCTACGAACATTCGCTTTCTTAACAGAGTCACGTTCGTACCTGTCTCTCTATGCTCTCAAAAAGGCTCTGTTTGCAGTGGGCTTTGCTTCTCCCTTTCCTAGAGCAAGAAAGGTTGGACTGGAAATCACCACCACGGTCACATAACGAAAAAACAAACAAGCACAAGAAAACACAGAGACGGCGAGTGGACCGAAACTCAAACGGAGGATGAATGGACACAGGGCCTAGCGCTGAGAACGGCGATGATGTACCCGTTTGGTCTCTGGGCGCAGTGTCGGTACCAGATTGGGCTCGTCCTGACCGCGGTGGGAGGGAGTGTCCGTCAGATAGACCTCCACGTCATCAGGCACTTCTTCGAGAAAATTGGATGGAACCAAGCCCCGATGTCCATTAAGCTCACCCTGAAAGACAAAAAACAAAACACAATAGTGCTGCAGGCTCAGAATAAAGCAGCGTGAGCGGTCAACACAACAATGAGACTTACATAATAGAAGCCGTCTTCATCTATATCCCCAAAAACAGCAATGATATCACCAGCACAGAATGTCAGTTCAGCCTGCCACAGAAAGCACATAATCAGCAACTCTACAGACATGCCTATGCAGCAGATTGAGAACCTGTGAGTGTATAAATATATGCGAGTGCGTTTAACACCTCAACATCCACATTTGGTGAGCTCTCTCTGGGGTCGTAGTCATACAGGGCAACCATTCGTCTTGTGGCCACTGGGTTGCGACCTCTCCTATTTTGTTCTGTTGAAGGAGAGAGAATCAGTTCTTCTGTGAGAGAGGCAGGCTATGTTCAAAACAAGATTTGATTGATTGGCATGGTCTAGATAGTTGCTATGCATTCTATGTATTCAAACAAAGTAAAAAACTAACTTTTTTTGTAAGCAACACATAAATCAGAGCTATTTCATATATACTATCATTGTATCTCATTTGGGGTCAGTACGTTTTTTTTTTTTAATTTTTATAAATATAAAGTTTTTAGGCTCATTCACATCAAGGACGATAATTATGACATTTTAAAAATCTAATTGTAAAATAATAGAGAAGGCAGATAGCTATACAACAATAACAAAAGGGAGGATAGATATCATTGGAATCACTTTCACATAAGGGTGGGCAATATACCGGTAGATGCGATTAACCAGTAGAAATTTGTCAGCCAGTAGAGATTTTTGACTATTTGTCTCTATCGCAGTTACACACTCATTGTGATGTTGATGTGCTACGTGGTCAGGAAAACTTATCGTTTGTATGCGTTTTTATGCATTACGGTTTAAAAACAAGTGATCTTAAGCCATTGAAACACAATTAACAGCGAAAGAGAACTAATTTCCCTATATGCACGCTGTCTGAGAACCGTTTCTGAGTGCTGTTAAGAGAGGTACGCCGTGCGCGTATGTAAAGACGGTGCTCACAGAGTTATTTTTGGTGCTTTATAGGCCTTGAACGGTTAAATACACACTTTTATGTGTAAAAATGCCTGTTTTTGCAAGTATCCCTGTAAACAGCAAACAGCTGAGAAAGAAAACACATGTTTAACAGTATATTGGATCAGGGCAGTTCTTAAAGTGACAGTAGTCTAATTTTCCTGCTGTCTGCCATTCATGTTAATCATACAACAAAAGAGAGAAGATTTCTCACTGCTCTGGACTTAATCACTTTTGTAACATTAGTAAGAACTATATATTTAATTTACACAGTGAAGAATATGCAGTGTTTTTATACGTTTGATTACTTTATAAAATGTATGTAGCATTTATTTATTACTTATTTATTTGTTCTACTGTAGTTTTTTTGTCCTATTCCATGTCATTAGTTTCTTATTCTTATTTAATCGCTGACAGTTTACTTGTCTTCAGTGAGCTTGAGTTTTTTTTTATTATTTATGCTAGTATTTTTGTCATGTTGAATTATGAAATTTCTATGATATCAACATTTTTGCTATTATAAAGACCTTATTTAAAGCAAAAAAAACAATATCATGATATATATATATATATATATATATATATATATATTGTTACAGTGAAATAAAATTACATGGAAAACACCTACCTATTCTGTCTACAGGAGTGTTGAGAGGGAGGAATCCCTGTTTCATGAGCTGCTCCATAGTTTCATCATCCTCTGCACGGATTTCCGACACCATGTTACAGGGAATAAGTCCAGACCTGCCCCGGATCTCCCCATGATAAAAACCATCATTATCCTTATCCCCATACACCTTAAACACACAGACAGAAGGCTGCAGAAACAATGGGCGGGCCATTTAACAACAGATCATTAACTCCAACTGAGCGGTACCTTGATTATCTGTCCCTCTTTAAAAGGGAGCTCCTCATCAGCTGCATCAGGGTTAGGGGACATGGAGAGAGGGTCATAGTCGAAGAGCGCCACGAAGATTCGAAACTGATCCTCCTGCTCAGACTCATCATAGTATGGGGGAGAGCGGCGGCTTCGGTCCCGGTATCCATCTAAAATGAAAAAGATGGGTAAAAACCAAGATGTCTAATAGGCAGGAATAATTGGCACCATGATACCCCTTACATGGATAGCTGGATAGCCAAGTCCTGCAGTGTAATATTTTTACATAATCATTTTTATAATTATTGTATATTTACTATAAATGCTGCTTCTATTAATTGAGGGATTACATGTAAAAAAAAATATATATATAAAAGTTAAGTATATATAAAAAAGTCACTCATGCGCACCAAGGCTGCATTTATTTGATCACAACCAATAAAATTGCTTCATATTATTATAATTAAAACTGTTTTCTATTTTATTAGGCCGATATATTTAAAAATTAAATGTATTCATTCCTGTGATGCAAAACTGAACTATTAGCAGCCATTAATCCAGTCTTCAATGTCACATGATCCTTCAGAAATCATGCTGATTTGGTGTTCAAGAAACATTTCTTATTATTATCAATGTTGAAAATAGTTCTACTGCTTAATATTTTTCATTTTAAACTGTGATAAAATTTATTTTTCATTTGAAATTGAAATCTTTAGTAACATATATCTTTAATGTCACTTCTGTTCAATTTAATGCATCATTGCTAAACAAAGTATACATTTCTTTCTTTCAAAAAAATCACATATTAATATATACTGTACAAATTTTATGTTATTTGATGTTATTTAGATATTGTCAACTACCCAAAAATGGCTGTCCACTTGTCCTGGAATAAAACAAATACAATATGCATGTCTTTAAAGTTCAAGCATTCAAGACTTTTTAAAGATGGGCATACAAACATCCAAAGAATTAACAGCATACATGTTCTCATCTCTGTATGTTACAATAGACTATATGAATAAGCATGCAATTCAGTCCAATGGAGTGAAATTCCTCTCCATACTTGCACAATCCATTTATTTGCCAAACACATCTTGGGTGGGTTGAAGAAAACAGACATTTCTTACAGTAATATGATGGTTATGATGTGTGTCGCTGTTTGTGTTTGCCAGTGTGTGTGTGGGTGTATGGTGATTGGGAGTTAAACACCCATATGGCAGCCAATTACAGATGAGCAGCAAGCCAAACATGAAGCTCCTGACAGGCGCACACACAGACAGACAGAGAGAGAGGGAGAAGAAGAGGGGGAGCACACGCAGTCTGAGCTACTGTAACCATGCAGAGATCTGGATCCGAGAAAGACCCATCAGATGGGGCACATTAGCCCCGGATAAAACTACACCTGTTTTATTTTGTCCCTGCTGCAACTACGAAGCTGTGCTTGAATGTGACTCCAACATGCCCAATGTGCATTCCACACAGTTGCCTTTGCAGTTGATGCCAAGGAACGGTTTGCGTTCTCTTCCTGGTCAACCGTTACCTTCATACATATTCGGTGGCATTCGTTCGGTATGAGATGCCGCCCTTTAACTTTCACCATTCAGTCATGCATGGCCAAAGTAAAAGTATGATTGTGGTCAGGTTGAAAAAGAGGAGAGGTTTGGCAGGCATCCATTGGTGGGGCAGTGCAAAGGGGGAGGAGCATTCTCTGTGCAAACATGTTGCTATAGGTGCTATCTTACAGCACCGCTTCCAACACAAGCTTCCATCTCGGTGCAGTCCAGTGCAGTTTCATGCGTTTGGCCATTTTCTTTCTCCTCAGACCTCACTCTAAATGCACGTACCATAAGGAGGCCTGCGTCCCCCGTGCCTTCGGGAGGACCATGTCCTGTGTCGCGCTACACTGCCATAGTAAACATCCTCCTTGACGGGAGAGAGGTTCCCTTCACTGTTACTCTCAGTGGTTATCTCTGAGGGAAACACCAATCAGAGAGTCGTTATACCATACGAAGGCTGTTCTGCATCAACCTGCCCAGGCTGAAGAAGCCTAACTACTCTGGCATTTAATCGATTTAAAGATTCAAAGAGGGTTATAATGATCGAAAGCAACAGGATATGGTTATGGTTGGAACACACAGTGGCGGTCTGGCACACATTGACAAGCTAATGAACAGTTCAAACAGAGAAAATGTGGAGCAGGAGGACAGACAGGCCCTGAACGCAAGTCTCAGACTCCTGTCTCTTACTGGGAGAGCACTGACCAATGGATGGGACCGTGAGGGGTTGGCGCTGAGGGTGAGGACCTCTGTGAGATGGCTTCCGGTATGATTCCCGATCCAGCTGACTCGAAGATGGAGTGCTGCCTCCGGTCTTGAATCGGGAAGAAACCAAACTAGTTAAAGCCATACAAACCAAGATGTCATTGGCATATTGTGAGATGTCTTCCATTTTTGGAATACCTTGAGTGCATTGTGGGAGTTTCGTCGCCTGCCTTCTTCATGCTGCATTTCAGAATACAACTCCTCCTCGTCCTCTTCTATGATGTCCGAGAGGTCCGAGCCTCGACTGCTCTCTGTATGATACTCTTCGCTGTGACTGTAATGAGACTGTGAAATGCAGACTGTGAGGAAAAAAACAAAAACATAAGCAAATACAACACACCCTAAACATTCAATGCTGACATTTGCCTCTTATGCCTGTTGTTGTATGGTAAGGCAATCACTTCAACTGCCATACCTGCCTGCCCAGCTCTGAGCCCCTGAGGAAGTCATCCACAGATGCTCCTCTTCTGTGTGCCTGATAGCTTTCCTCATCCTCTTCCTCATCTGAATTTTGAGAGTGAAAGCCCTGGCTTCTCCTCTCCATCTAAATATATTAAAGTACTTTCAGAAGTCTTAATAAAGAAATCTGACAGTTATGCTGAGGACAAGATAGCTAATCTTCTGTATGTTCATTAACTTTTTAAAAGAGTTCTCATTTGCACGTATTAACCCTAGAATGCAAAAAGGGTCAAAACTGACCCGATAGGGTGTTATTATGATAATTTTTTCAATAAAATAATTTGAATAATTTGTATTTCTTATAAATGTTGTATGTAAGCCTCAGCAAAAATTGTGCATATTTGTTATTCATAGTTTCAAAAAAACTACTCCTAGTCTTTGAAAAGGGGGACAGAATGACATGTATATGTTTCCTATGAAATTCTAACTCGCAATAATAATAATAATAATTAATCAATAATTCTTTATCAAAATGTTGTTTCTGTTCACAAAATTAACTAAAAATAAAATAATGATATATTAATTTATAGATTTTCTAAATAATCTATAAATAAAATAAACTATAAATAAAAAGTCAGCAAATTCTCACTTAAACACATTAGTTTTAGTTATTATAATGTTAGATTTAATTTGTTTTAGAGTATATATACAGTACATGAAAAAGAACAATTGAACATTACTGAAACATTTAAGCATGTATGATCAAATTAATAATTCTGTAAGTGTATAATCTTAAATAATTTAAAAGGATAGTTCATCCAAAAAAGAAGAAGAAGAAGAAGAAGAAAATACTGTCATCATTTAATCATCCTCGTGGAGTTTCAAATGCATTAGACTTTGGTTAATCTTCTAAAAAACTTAAGATATGTTTAATGAAACCTGAGAGGTTTCTGTACCTCCATTCAAAGTCCAGGTACCCAAAACATAAAATATCCACATAGATCTTAAAGTTGTTGTAAAATGAATCCATATGTATTGAGTGCTTTAATCTTGTGAAGAGATATGATAGCTTTATATGATGAATTTTCTTTTATAAAGAAAACAATAAAAAGAATATATATATATATATATATATATATATATATATATATATATATATATATATATATAT